CAAGGGGGACGGGTCTCTGAAATTCTAGAATCTATGAGCAAGATTCCCACGATGAATGTTCGCACAGAGCTTGTCACCACTCCAGAGGAATTGCTCATTTGGAAATACTCTGTAACAGACACAGAGCCACCTTACGATCCAGAGCTCACCGATATCCCCTCTGCCTATGCCAAATTCCACTTCTCAAGGTTAACAAGGCCTCGTGAGCAGGTCTTCTCGCGCCACCAGATCACATCTTTGGTGTCAATTTCACCAAGGACTCTATTAAAGAAGGTCGTGCTGTATTCACAATACGTTGTAAGGAGAGAAGACCGTAATATCTACACGTTCACTGATGCTGATTTGTATAACCTCTGCGTGTATGATCTCATTTATATGCACAAAATCCTTAATATCTACATGGGGAGGAGGTCAACATACCAAATTTCCCTCAGAAGGCTGATTGAAGTTATGCGCGCGCAAGTGATGTACTACAGCCAGAAGGATTTTGAGTTGGCCATGCGACTAGCACAGAAGAATCTGAAGATCACTCCTCCTTACAGCAGGCCAAGTTGGGCAATTAAGTACTATCCAAACACCATTCTACACAATCCCGTTTTTGGGTTTGTGTATTTGGACAAGGATGAGCTACTAAGATTCTTTGACCCCACAGAAGCTCACAAGTATGCAACAGAGACTTTGGAATGGATCTTCAAGTGCTTATTGGCAGAGGTGGATAACAGACATTACAGGGTTAGCGAAGTGTCTCCTCTCTTGGAAGAAATTAAAGCTCAGATCAACTTCAGAGAGTTCATCTTCAACGTCTACAGAACTGTCAAGTCCGATTTCTTATGCGCAGTAGACGACTTCCCAGAGTCTGAAGTGTGACTCTCTTCTGTTCCAGGACCCGACCTGTACTTCATAATTTTTGTCATTTAAAGTTTTGTAATTCTTTACTCTGTAATTCTTTACATTGTAATTTTTTACATTGTAATTCCTTTGATTGTAATTCTTTTAGAGGATGATGGTTTATCACCTCTTGTATTTTATTTTTCAATCAAGTCATGTCCCTGCA